TTTTGTGTTAGGAATTTGTTGGACTTAAGATTTTCTTTGATCAATTAATCTATTTCTCTAGTGTATCTTCAACACCTGGGATTCTCACTTCCATCTCTTGTATTCTGTTGGTTATGCCTGCATCTTTAGTTCCTGATCATTTACACAGATTTTCTATTTCCAGCATTCCCTCAGAAGGTGGTTTTGTTGTTGTTGTTGTTGGTGGTGGTGGTGGTGGTTGGTTGGTTGGTTGGTTGGTTGGTTGTTTTTGTCTCTATTTCAACTTTCAAGCCTTGCACTGTTTTAATTTTTCCTTCACTTGTTTGGTTGTTTTTTCTTGGCCTTCCTTGTTTTCTTTAAGAAATGTGTTTATTTCTTTCAATTTTTGGTTTGACTTTTCCTCCATTTCTTGAATTTTTGTTTGTTTTCTCTTCTGTTTCTTTAAGGGATTTTTTTCATTACCTCTTTGAGGGTCTCTGTAGTCTTCATAAAGTTGTTTTTAGGGTTGTTCTCTTCTGCTTCATCTGTGTTGGAATGTTCAGGTCTTGCTGATGTGGAGTCCCTAGACTCTGATGTTGTCATATTGATCTTTCTGTTGTTGACTATGTTCTTATAGAGTCATCTTCCCATCCCTACTTCCAGTAAGTTCCTGTGGGGTCTTTGCCTCTCACAGTGGGTTCCAAGGTTCTTTTCTGATAGGTGCAAGCAAGTCCAATATTTCTATGGCTCTCCTCTTCCCGAGGGTTGAGGCAAGACTAGGATCTCGATGTTGGCAAACTCTGGATGGTCTGTTTCCCCAGGGAAGGGTTCCCCCAAGTGCAGTACCCATGCCTCAGGAGGCTCCAAGCAGGGCACAAAAAAGAAGTGTTTGAATCTTATCTGATGTCTTCCTGACGAATTCTAAGTGTCTTCAAAACTTGGTTGTTAGAGAACTTGGAAAACAAAGATGCCATGTGACTGAGAATTACTGTGGATTGTTTCCTTAGGAGAACTTCAGACAAGAGGTTTTGGTATGAGCAAATTGACTTGCTAAGGTGTAGATTGCATAACAACTAAAAAAAAAGTCAAAAGACCTTTTTTAATAAAGTAATAGTAGTCAGTTTATTATAAACTGGCTCTCCTTCCCTGCTGCTTCTAAGACAAAATTCATTCTGGAGTGACCTTATTTCTTCCACAGATCTGCACAAAACCAAACACCTACAGTTTAGAGAAACATTAATATATAGGTATAAGCATAAATATTCAGAAGGCAGGTTAACAATATACCCATTTAGCAAAATAGCAATAGGTCTATCCCAAGAGGTTACAAGCTCATGCTCATGGGATTTAGACCAAGTTTACAGGCATAAATTCTCTCCAGTGGGATTCAAATCTAATCTGAAATAACTCAAATCTAATAAGTAGAAAGATGGTTACCCTATCACCTACATGTTATTATTGCACCTGTGAGCTAGTCTCACTTGGTAGGTTAATATTGCAGCATTCAGGGTCACTATCAAGTAATATCACTAATGCCTTTCTCTCCCAATGTCCTCATAACACCTGCTAGTTCTGTGAAAATTACCCAACATGGAAGAAGTTTCATGTCTGTTCCAACTTGGAATCTGTAAGTCTTTATAACAAAATTATGCTGTGTCTTCAGCAATAGGGTCTTTACTCTAGTTCTGAGACTACCAAGCGCAACAGCAACAGGCTTTGCTGTTTTGGAGTCTCTGCATTCTCCCTGATGAGTAACTCTTAGGAGGTTCTCCATGTTTGGCACTGGGATTTCTCTTTAATAACTCATGTCACAGGATGAAAGCACAGTGCAACCATTACTCACTAGCCTACATTTATCTAATTTATATTTTGGTTAGCTTACAAAGTGGTGTGTTAACATAGGATCTATCATACATCATTAGTGTGGTTTGCCCAAGGCCACCCACTCCTCTCCCCTGTCACACAATCCCTATCCTCACTTCAAACTTGCACCACTTAAACCTAACTTAAACAATTTTACAACACAAGGTTTCTACTCTGTCTGCACAACTTAGGGCCTTTTAGACTCCCCTCACTTGGATTCATTATAGTTTCCTAACTTCTATAGACAATCCAAATAAGTCTCTCATGGACACATCTCTAAATGAAAACCTATAGGCAATTAATAGTTGCTGAGAGAGGGAGACTCAGACTTCTTCAGATATGAGTCCCTCGTAATTGTCAAATCCCAAGTGGTCAACATTAAATACATAACAGCAACACTAAATAGACTCAGCACAGTGTGTGTGTGTGTGTGTGTGTGTGTGTGTGTGTGTGTGTGTGTGTGTGTTTGTGTGTGTGTGTGTATGTATGTATGTATGTATGTATGTATGTATGTATATGTGTGTGTTTGTATTATGTATGGATGTAACAATCATTAAAGAAGAAAATGAGAGTTTGAGAGGGAAGGGGGGAACACAGGAGCAGTTGGAGAGGAGACAAAGAATGGTGGAAATGATGTAAATATTGTATGGACAGAAAATTCTCAAAAATTAACCTAAAAGAAACTTTAAAAATAAAAAAATTAAACACACTACTCAAAATAAATGGATCATATACGTAATATATGACTATATGTCAAATGACCCACAAATGAGAGAAAAATATAGCATTTGTCTCTCTGGGAATGATTACCTCAGTAAGTAGGATGTGCTCCATTTCTGTCCATTTTCCATGGATTTTTATAGACCTGTTCTTCAATATGTATGATATGCATACATACATGTGTGCATCTTTGCATGTTGGGGCATACAAATATGGGGGCTATACCTGTTCTTCAATATGTATGATATGCATACATACATGTGTGTATCTTTGCATGTTGGGGCATACATATATGGGGGCTATACTGTGTGTGCTTGTGTGCACCCTAAATTGATATCTGGAATCTTCCTTAGTTGCTCTCACATATTCATTGAGGCAGATGCTCTCATCCATTCCCAGAGCTTGTCCATAAAGCAAGTCTAGCTGGCCACCCTGCTCTGTGGATCCCCTGACTCGACTTTCTGAGCAGGGAATAGCAGGAGCCACAATTCAAATGCAGCAGGTACAGGCGTTCTTGGGATCCAAATCTAGTCCACGTGCTTTTTTGTCAAACTCATTAACTTGCTGCCCCAGAGGCTCTATAGTGTGACAAATCTGAAGAGGACTTGGATGTATGCATGGTAACAGATACATCTCAGCTGGAAGACGTGGACAGCACAGCCTAGGAAGAGCTGAGTCCTCTCTCGGCACCTGGGGAAGACATGGCCTGAGCCAGGCAGACCTTGGCAAAGATGAGTGGCCAGTCTACTGCACTCAGGAGATGTTAGAGGTTGTCCTACAGAAGACAATGAGAGCAGGTCTATAGATCCTGATTTCAGAGACAATTTGGCCCCTGAAGCCAGTCTCTTAAGGACTAATTCTATGAACAGATGCCGTACTCTGTGCTCTCACCAAATTTTCTCCAGCACCTTGGCCAAGGGAATACAGTCAGCTATGTTGTACTTTCGGCAGCTGGCAGGTGCTGAGGGATGAACTTGGATTCTAGTCCATGGAGCATCCTCCTATCTGTTTTATCCTGAGCTCTTTCCAAAGAAGATAATGAGATGAGGTTTGTATTCAGATACAAAACTGGAGAGAAGACTCCTCAGATGCACTGATTGAAGGAAGAGGGAGTAAGTCAGGTAGGAAGCCAGCAAAGTTTGCTGTGGTGTATGGTGGAGTGGGTCACATCAAGAGCAAATGTGTTAGCTTGCTTTCCATTGCCAGGACAGGAAATAGGGACTGGGAAACTTTTGTTATTCTTGTTTGTTTGTTTGTTTGTTTGTTTGTTTGACTGACTGATTGACTGACTGATTGTAGCCTAGGATGTTTCCAAACTCACCATATTGAAATGCTGACGCTGAGCTCCTTATTCTTCTGTCTTCTGAGTGATGAGTTACAGGACTATAGGACCATTCTTAGTAGGTTTTTTGTGTGTGTGGTTGGTTGATTGGTTGGTTGGCTTCTTGTTTGTGTTTTTAAAGCTTCTTTACTTAATTATAGTTCTGGAGTCTGGAAGTCCAAGATTAAAGACTATAACTGCTCTGATTAAGAAAAAAGTACACAGGCAAGCAGGTGCCTGCAGGAGAGAAATGAAACCCCTTCTGACAATAGCTAGTTCATTGCTAGAAGAAAAGTATTGATCAATTAATATGGGGCCTGCCCCCATGAGTTCAAACACCCACACTAGATCCTTTTCCCCATACTGCTACACTGGCAAATGAGTTTCAACACTAGTTTCATCATGAGTTTCGGTGGATACTAAATACACCCATACAGTAGCCACAAACAAGGCTTATTGTTACTGATGATATCTGGAAGACAGTACAAAATATGCTTGGGTTGCCAGTCTTGGGAACAGGGGACTAAGTCTATATCTTGAAACATGAACTCTAAGGCATCCCAAAACCATCCCTTCAGGCCCAGAATTGCAGGACTTATAGATGGTGATATCAGGACTGTAATGGTGGGGACCAATGGGATCTGTCAGGAGAAGACAGTGACTCCAGTGTCTGTAAACTCCCCCAGTATTCCAAGACCCACATGACCACAGCCCTGAAATTACAGATGGAAAAGCTCAGAGAGTCTAGTTGATCATCCCATAGACTGCATGAGGACAGAGTTGCATTTGTGAACTCATCCTTTATTCTCAACCCAAAGAGCAGGTCTGGCACAGAGTAAGACATCTATAAATATCTGAAGTGTGAATGAACATAGTACAGAATTATTATTATTATTATTATTAGACAAGTGAAAACTTGCACTAGATTCTTTCTACTCTAAAGCTCACATTCTTTGCACTGTACTGTTCAGAATATCCCAATACCCACAGTCAGTATTTTGTACAGCTTAGAAAGATGCCTAAATTCATCCAGTTGTTCAATGGTGGAAGGAAGAGACAAAGGAAAAAAGAATGAAAGAACAATAAACACTATTGAGTTCTCTTATGCTCCATATTTCTTCCTTATGATTTTTTTCAGAAATGCATCACAAAGAAGGAAGAGAGAATCTTTATCACACTGAGTCCTGGAAAATGGAGGATTTCCTACAGAATTTCACACACCTATTACTTTTACTAAAACCTTGCCCAAGAGGCTGGAAGACCTTGAACAGAAAAAGCTTGCATGAAACAAAAGGAGAGGAGAAAGGACATCTGATTGAGATGGAAGACTTATTTAATCCAAACCTAGATACCCAGGAAGAGCCTCAGTTGGTCATATTAGAGGGGGCTGCTGGGATTGGGAAGTCAACACTGGCCAGGCAGGTAAGAAGGGCATGGGGAAAAGGCCAGCTCTACAGAGATCGCTTCCAGCATGTCTTCTATTTCAACTGCAGAGAGCTGGCCCAGTGCAAACAGCTGAGTCTGGCTGAACTCATAGCCAAAGACCAGGCTGTGTCCTCAGCTCCTATCAGGCAGATCCTGTCTCACCCTGAGAAGCTGCTCTTCATCCTGGATGGCATAGATGAGCCAGCATGGGTCTTGGAGATGCAGAATCCTGAGTTCTGTCTGCACTGGAGCCAGCCACAGCCAGTGCCTATGCTGCTGGGCAGTTTGCTGGGAAAATCCATTCTGCCGGGTGCTTCCTTGCTGCTCACAACTCGGATCACAGATCTACGGAAGTTCATTCCTTCTTTGGGGCAGCCACGTTGGGTGGAAGTCCTGGGTTTCTCCAAGTCTGGACGGAAGAAATATATCTACAAATATTTCACAAAGAAAAGAGAGGCAATTGCAGCTGTTAGCTTGGTTAAATCAAACCCAGTGCTCTCAGCACTGTGTGTGGTGCCCTGGGTGTCCTGGCTGGTCTGCACTTGCCTGAAGCAGCAGATGAAACAGGGAATAGATCTCTCACTGACCTCACAGACCACCACAGCCCTCTGCCTGAAATACCTTTCCCTGACTCTTCCAGGGCATTCCCTGGAGACACAGCTCAGAAGGCTCTGCTCACTGGCTGCTGAGGGGATCTTCAGAAAAAGGACCCTGTTCAGTGAGAGAGACCTTCAGATCCAAGGGTTAGATAATGATGTCATTACCACTTTCTTGAAGATGGGTGTCCTTCAGAAGCAGCCCAGGTCTCTGTACTACAGCTTTGCTCACTTGTGTCTCCAGGAGTTCTTTGCAGCAATGTCCTGCATCTTGTATTTTAATGAGAACACAAGTGATCATACAGAATTCTACAGTATTGTGCAAGCACTGAAGGAAGGCTATGGAAGACATGACCTGTTTGAGGCACCCACTATGCGCTTTCTATTTGGTCTTTTAAGTGAAAAGGAAATGAGAAAAATTTGGAATATCTTCCCCTGCAAATGGAGTAGGGAAACAATGTTGCACCTGCAAAGGTATATCCAAAAGGAAGCCCTACTCCATCAACCATATTCTCTGGGTTTACTCCATTGTCTGTATGAAATTCAGGATAAAGATTTCGTGGCAGAAGTGATGAACAATTATCAAGAAACAAGGGTGCATACCCCAGTGGATATGGAGCACCCAGAGTTCCAGACAGGAGTGATGTACATGGTGGTCCAGACAGACGTGGACCTCATGGTGGTCACTTTCTGCATTAAGTTCTGCTGCCGTGTAAAGAGGCTTCAGATGAATGCGAGTGGACAGCAGAGAAAAATCTCAAAGTCCCCCAAGATAGTTCTGTGAGTATCTGTGGATCCCATGAGCACACATGTTATGAGCACCAGCAGCACTCTTAGCAGGATCCAGGGCAGCAGGATACAGGTCATCCATGACATCTAACTCCTGAGTCTGACCATTTTTCTCTACTTGCCTCTGTGTGCCTGACTATACAAGGAACTATGAGCTTTTAAATCTTCCTAGGCCTCAGTGAGGACACCCACCTGCTCTGATTCAAATCTTCTTCATCCTTCACAAGATTCAAATAGCCCACATTCACTGATCCTTTCTCTTAATGTGATTTCTCTCTGTGAACTCTCTCTGCTCATTCAGCTCCTGCAGGCACTCTCCCCTATATGCATGACAGTGACCTTGGCCCTAATGTTTTCCCTCCATCACTTCAAGAGGTGTATCTGTGAGTGTCCCTAAATTTCCCCTGTCAGATGATTCCTTGTATGTGTCAATGAAGGCAGAATGTCTCTGGCACTGAGCTTCAAGTCTTACTAACTTCTCTCCAATCTCAGCAGCAATGTAGACTTCCCCTTCCTGGGTCCCCTACTACAGTGCAGAAGTGGTTACTTGATGATTCATTAAACACTGACTTTATATCAGGCTCTGCCAACCAATCACAAAAGGAGAAACACAGTTGCTGCCTTGAGGTTTTCAAAGCTGGGAGAGGAAACAGTCACTCTAATTACATAGGGCATGACTCTTGAAATAAGCAGGAATGGACCAGATACCCAGAGTTGTGGAATTTGACACCAATCTGAACACTACAAGAGCCCATGTGAAAAAATAACTTAAAAATAGCAGAGTGAAGGTTAGAAAACAGGAAGAACATGAGGAGAGGAGGGAAAACGGGTCAAATAGGAAATGGGATCAAACTGTGTCACACACATAGAGGAAGTTGTCTCAATAACTCTCATTTTATATGATTAGGTGGACTAATAAAATATGATAGATGTAGAAAAGTGAGGCTATACCAATCATCAAAACAAAAATTTATGTCAACCAGAATTCCATTCCTCAGAGAGGACAACAATAAGAATTGGAGTAGCTGAGCTTGGTCATGCACACCTGTCTTCCCAAACTCAGAAGTCTGAGACAAGGAAGGAAGTCCCAGGCCAGTCTGAGCTACATAGTGTGACACTGTCTCAAAATATCAGGGAGTAAGGAAAGATTATTATTATTATCATGACTAATTTTCTTTTGCTGTGATAGAACACCATGGACAACACAACTTATAGAAGAGTTTATTTTGGATTCTGGTCCAGAGGGATCAGGGTCCATCATGACAGAGGGAAAGGATGTGACTGGAGCAGCAACTGAGAGCTCATTCTAGAACCACAGGCAGGAAGCAGAAAGAATGTACTGGTCATGGCTCCAGGCCCCAGTGACACATTTCCTCCCACAAAGCCACACCTCCTAAGCTTCCCCCAAAGTGCCACCACTTGAGGACCAAGCATTCAAAGGCCCATGACTGGGTGACATCTCATTCAAAGCACCACACCTAATAAGACCAAGATCCTAGGTTATACCCACAGCATGAAAGAAAAAAATGCAATATGCCCTTTAATCTTATCTCCATATATTTTTATGGGAAAACTGAGCCTCACAATCTCTGTTATCTTATATTCACATTTATTTCCTTAATGAATCAAGGCTGCCTTCTCTGGTTACTAAAGATCTAGTACAATATCATTCTGAATAGCGTTCTGATATTGCCTAGGGCGAATACCTTAGTGATTTGGATCATTTTTCTATTCTTGGCCAGTATAAGTTGTTTCTAAATGTCTATGGTTATAAAAAGTGAGCCTTGAAGGGCCTTCCTTGATACAGATGTGGCAAGCAGCAGTGGTCTGATAGGGAGCTTCAGAAGAATCTAAGTACGCACAGAGACAGAGATCAGTTAGGGAAAGAGAAACAAGGAACACCAGCATGCTTGCAATGGACCATGGCCTTAGGAGATTGGGGGCAACCCCATGGGAGAGCATGAGGATTTGACTGCTAGTGAGAAAGTAAGGTCAGGGAGCTCAGCAAGGAGGCCATTTCACACTGAGCAAACAGGGTGGAAGCTCCCTAAAGTAAAAAATCAAAAATGGCAGGTGAGTGAGTTTCTATTGCTAAAAAGCGACTCCATGACCATGGCAACTCTATCAAAGCAAACATTTAATTGTGATGGCTCACTTACAGTTAAGAGACTCCATCCATTATCATCATGGTAGGACATGGCAGTGTGCAGGCAGACATGGCTCTGGTTACATCTTGATATGCAGACCACATAAAGTCAACAGACATCCTCAGTGGTATCCTGAGCAAAAGATACCTCAAATCCTGCCCCCACAGTGATGCACTTGCTCTAACAAGGCTGCACCCACTCCTACAAAGCCCCACCTCCTAATAGTGCCACTCCCTATGAGATTATGGGGGCCAATTACATTCAAACTACCACATACACATGAAGTAAAAAGTAAAAAAAGTGTTTTAAAAACAACATCCTTCAAAGTTTAGTATTTGTTTTCCTTAACATGTCCTTAACATTCTTTAGTTTTGTAAAATTGAAAGAAAAGTTCTATATTTTTTGTTTCGATTAAAGTTGGCCATCTCTAATCTTAGTTTTGGAACTTGTGGTTGTATTTTAAGTTTGTTACATTGTTTTGTTTACAGTAGAAGGGATCAAATGCTGCACATTCCAGACTGAAAGCTACTCCAAGCCCCCCTTGCAGCTTGAAGCTTAGGCTAATTTAAACTTCAATCTTCTCCTGTCTTTATATGCTTGGTTTCTGGCAATAAAGGAATGCCTTAGCAGGCATGGTGATTATCTATCTATCTATCTATCTATCTATCTATCTATCTATCTCTATTTCTATCTCTGTGTGTGTCTGTCTGTTTCATTCTGTGTGTCTCTCAGTGTGTCTGTCAATTTATCTCCCTGTTTATCTGTCAGTTTCTCTATCTGCCTATCATGCTCTTTCTGAGTGTACCTAAGTCTCTCCCTGTATCTAGATATCTTCTTCCTACCTCTCTTAGAAAGATATAGGGACCACATGAACCAACACATCTGTAGTGTTTATGGCCATGCTCAGCATCCCAACACAGAGTCACTCTCAACCCCCTCTCCTGAGCTCTCATCCCATCTCCCTTTTTCAGGTTTCCACTTTAGACTCTAGAATTCTGTTCAAAGGGGAATCAGTTATATTCACATCAAAATGAAGAGGCTGTCTGAATTACCAAGGTCCTTCATTGTACCAGACTATGTGCTGGGTACTGTAGATTAAAAAGAAAAGATGATAATGACCAATTCACACCATGTGGGGCACCTGGACTGAGTCACAAACAGATGCACAAAATGAACACACAGCAGGCTGTGATTAGGATGTAAATGCAGAACTACCCAGAGGAGAGGATCCAGATATTGGAACAAAGGAGCATGTAGAAGCTGGTAAATCCTGGGGATGGTATATGGAGGCCTGGTGCTCAGGCAATAGGAACCTAGTCTACTATGTGGGGCACACATGGGTCACATCACTCATACCCTTTCTCTCTCGCTCACTCTCTCTCTCTCCTCAGGTCTAGATGGACCCCAATGACTAATGCCAGTTGGCAGGTTCTCTTCTCCATGCTTGAGTTCACAGGAAGCCTAGAGGAGCTGGACCTAAGTGGAAACCCACTGAGCAACTCTGCACTGCAGAGTCTTTGTAGGACCCTGAGATGCCCTGGATGTCACCTAAAGACATTATGGTGAGTCTGGCCTGGGTTGTCCCTGGAGCAGACATAGATGGCAGGAGAAGAAAGGCAAAAGCCGGGCCTGGGGTAAGGCTTGTTATTCATCACATGTTCACCAAACTCTCTTGACCCTATCCATGACAGACTTGATAAACACATGGACTCTATTCTTGGGCCTCATGAGAGACTGATATTCAGCAATGACCCCACTAGCTATTGCTAACTGCAGGCCCATGAGGTAGGTCTCTAGTAGAGCAGACTTCCTGAGGAAGTGGCTACAGGAGAAATGAAGAACACAGAGAAAGAGACTAAATGAAGCAGGAGGGGAGAAAACTCCAGACCCAGGGAATGGCATCTCCCTATTTTCCCCTCATCTCTGCCCTTGTAACCAGCCTTCAACTCTGTTTCTATGGACACCATCTATTCTAATATTACACATGATGAGTGAGATCCTTCTCTATTCTATGGCTGGTGAACACCACTTCAGATGGCTCTTGAAATCGACCAGTGAGTTGCCCTGGGCCTCTTGGAGCTCTGCCATGACCAGTGGCTGCAGAGCAGTGGTCCCCAAGCTGTCCTCCACTATTCCTGCTGCTCGGTTGTGGGAAGCATGAATTATCCACCCAGACTAGAAAAGGCACTCCAGAGAGCTAAGCAATGCTAACACAGCATACCAGGGCTCACAAAGGGAGACCTGAGTTCAGTTCTCAAGAGCAGTGAGCTCTGGAAAAGCTGATGATGAGCATCTCCCATGCAGGCTTCTCAACTGTGGCCTCACATCCAGACACTGTGAGGACCTGACCTCAGTGCTCTGGGCCAGCTCCAGCCTGACTGAGCTCGACCTGCAGCTAAATGACCTGGGCGACCATGGGGTGAGGCTGCTGTGTGAAGGGCTCAGGAATCCTGCCTGCAACCTCAGAATCCTGAGGTAAGTAAGGCCCAGGAATTCCCTCTGGGGAGGAGGCAAGGGAAGGGACACAGGTGTGTTACTAGATGACAAGACAGAAAAAAAGGGGGTCATATAGTGCATAGTCAGTCTGACTACTGACCAGCTGTGCCATTTACACCCATGACTTGGATAAGTCCCTGTATACTTTAAAACTCGGTTTCCTCATCTATCAAATGGAATATCACACCTGCCTCATGGATTCTAATAACATAAAATGTACACATGTAAAAACAAAGATAATACCAGGTAGGTGGTAGGGCACTGTATATTATTAAGGCTATTATTCTTTTTTTAATTTTTTTATTAGTTCAAGTTAGGAACAAGCTTGTTTCACATGTAAATCCCTTCTCCCTCTCCACCTTAAGGCTATTATTCTTAACCACTGAGCCTCTCTTAAGTTAAGGCTATTATTCTAATGGACTCAGGGCTTCATATTCTAATGGACTCATTTGTTCAGTCATGAATACACTATACATGCATTCACATCAGGGCCCTGTGTGCCAAGGCCTGGTCCAGGCCCTAGGGATAACAATCACAACACACATGGCTCTGTCCTGCTGAAGCTGTGTGGGAAGAGACAGACATAAGTTACCTGTGAGCTGTGATTCACTATTGACAATCTCTGCTGAGTGCTGTGGAGTCGACAGTATGATGAAAATGCAATGCTGTGAGAAGGCCTGCTTTATTGAATGGCCCAGGAGGGCTTCTCCTAGGCCTGATAAGGAAATAGGACTTGGTTGGGCCAACCTGGAGACAGCAGCCCAGGAAAAGGCAGAGCTGGGGAAAGCTCTGGAACAGAAAGTGGCTAGAGCCTTGGAGGGCCATGAGTTTCACTACAGGAGCTTGATGTGGCCCTCTGTCCAGAATCTGTTTAGGATTATGGCCATGAACTCCAGCCATCGGGAATGCTGATGGCTACTGTGCTGCCCTGTGCCAACAAGAGTACCCTCATCTATGGCCATGTACCCTTCCCTGGTATCTGTCGGGAGGGGTATAAAGGGCCAGCCCTCATTTCAGCCCTGGAAAGTTACAAAAGTCCTTATCCTGACTTCAGATTTATCTGCACAGTGACAGAGCACCACCTAGACTGTGTCAGGGACACATCTCCCTCTGCTCAAGCCTACTACTCTCCATCGTTTGTCTTGGTTTTGGCTCAAGAATAAGCCTTAATAATGCTCCTCACTGGCTCCATCTACAGACAATAGAGTCCAGGATCCTGGACCCTGATACCTCATGATCCTGTGGTGGATCCCAGAATAAGCAGCCCCTTCCTGTGCTTGCAGGCTGGACCAGGACCCTCTCAGTGACCAGGTGATGATGGAGCTCAGGGCCCTGGAGGCAGAGAATCCACAGATGCTCATCTCTAGCACATTGTAAGTGGTGAACACAGAACTTCTACTGGTCAACCCAGGCCCTATATGACTGCTCTAGAGCTGAGAGTTGGGAAAAGGGTGCTGAGGTAATGGGAAAAACACACAGAACCAGGAAGAAACCAGGAAACCACAGTGACCAAAATGCAGAAGGGTTCTGTGTATTGGGAGATTGCATATATTTTTAATTTAGAAAAAATAGAATTATATAGCATACCCACATAAGTTCTTCCATCTGAAAAAAAAAGATATGAAAGGTCAATTAGGCAAGTCCTCTGGGCACAACAAGTGTGACAATGATAGCCATCAAGAAACCCAAATCATGGGGACAACGAAAACAGAACCACACTTAAGAAAAACACAGAAAAACTCTTAGGGAACAAAAACCACTATGAGTATCACTGTCCTAACTCTAATGCTCAGACACACATACACACAGGATTATGTGCACGCCACACACAGAAACACACACACACACACACACACACACACACACACACACACACACACACACACACCACACACACACACACTGTGCTATGGGATATAAAGCCTCAGGACAGGACAGGAAAGTTGTTTTCCCAAATCCAGGGGCTGTGCTGAAGCCCATGTTCTCCTAGCTTAGTCAATTTCAGTTCCTGACCATGAATTCTTTCTGTCAAGTTCCTAGCTGTCATACCACATGTGAAACCAAGGGTTCTATAAATATGGGATGGCCATCCATCCATTGATTGAACATTTGTGCAAAACTCACTATACATCATACACTATTTTCGGTTCTGAGAGCACATCAGTGAACCAGGAAGACATGGCCCATGATTTGGTATTACTGGACACCAGCAGTGAAGGGACCCTTGTTCACCCACAGTCCATGAAATTGTACCTGGGAACCTTTGAGTGAGATGGTAGTCTGTCTGACCTGATCGAAAGCTGAGGCAAGCTCTCCAAGATGAGAAATGTGGGGTTGATGCAAGAAGAGGAAATTTCCAGGCAGAGGTAGAGAATAAGGAAGCAGAGAGAGAAACTCCACTGAGGGACAGGAAACCATGTGTGAGATCATCTGTTCTCCCTCACCATCAACCTGAGAGCTCCACAAAAATGCAAGTTCTCAGGCCCCACTCCATCCCTGATGACTCAGAATATCAGGAGGAGCAGCTTCCTTCACTGAGCCTTCTGATTTAGCAGGCCATCCAAGTGACATTTAACATAGTGATTTGAGAGCCCCTGGTCTAGATTTGAGAAGGAAAGGGTGACATAGGAGGGCCTGGAGGCAGACAGGAGTCACAGCAAGAATGATGAACCATGCTAAGAATGTTCTGTTTCTCCCCAGAGGAAATGAGAGGCTTTGTAGTGCCTCAGCCATGAAAGGCATCTCCACCCATTTTTTTATAGCCAGCTACTATGTAGAAAATGGACTAGAAGGGACAAATCAGGATTAGGGCCACCTGTCAGAGGATGCGGCAGTGGTTCAGGACAATGTTCTATCCATCCTGGGAGAAGGATGGAGTCTGTGGAGGTGAAGAGTAGATGACAGAAAGGAGACAAATTAGAAATTAGGAGGTAGTGTCTAGGGGATCAGCATTCATCTTGTTCAGCTATAACACAATGCCTGACACTGGGCACCTAACATAAATAATTGAGATTATTTCTTTCTGGATACAGGGAAGGGTCAGGGCATGGACCCTGCTTCTAAAGAAGCCCTTTGTCCTGTTTCATCTGATTGGGCAGCTGGGAAGGCTGAGAATGTGAAGCCAGGCAGTCTTTAATGACGAGTACTGTCAGGCCACAGGAACCCACTCCTGTGATGATGACATTAACCCCTTCATGAAAGCAGAACATTCATGACCTCATTGTGTCTTATCCTGCATCCTATCAGCACTGTGACATTGGGGGTTAACTTTCTAGTGAGTAGATGTTGGGTAACACATTCAAATTAAAGCAAAGGATGAGATGATCCCTGTTCAAGCCCCATTGATGACCAGGAGGATGGGGCCTTCATAGAGTTCAGTCCCACAGAAGCCTAGGACTGAGTTCAAATTCAGATGAGTTGGATTTTATGTCAAGATATGTACATGGCCCTGGTTTCCCTGGTTTCTCCTGAAATCTGAGGGAAATAATATGTCTGTGTGTAGGAATCCACCTGTGATGGACCCTACTAAGAACATGGATGGAGAAGAAATGGGTGATAGCTTGACCTCATTCAAGCAGCAGAGACTACAGTCGGGTATGTGATGGGTTCAGACACAGGGCATCATGATTACAGATGAAGGAGAATCTGTGGGGGAAAGTTATCATTTCTTTCTTTTTGAAATTTCTTTTTAGAAATTAATACACAAGTACTATTATTTACACCTTTCCAGACCGCAGTCTGCCTACTCCAACAACTCCTGTGTCCCACCAGCAAACTCTCTCTCTCAAATTCATAACCTCTTCTTAAATATTAAATATTAAATATATGTGTATTTACATATGTATATATGAATACAACATGATGAGTCCATTTAGTGTTGGTCATCTATATATTTCAGGTTGAACACTTGAGTCTGGATGATCTATTAGGAAACTTTTCCCGGGGAAGACTGATGTTAACCCTCTCCTACCAGCTATTAATTGCCTGTAGCTCTTCATTTATGAGTAGAGCGTTATCAGAATCCCCCCATCCACATTAGAATGTCAAGTAGTGCTATCATTGGGCAGTTCTTGCTGAGGCCGAGATATTGTTGAGATTTCATTAGTGCAACTTCACTGCCATATACAAAAGAAAAGAAAAAAAAACATTGCAACATCTCCAACAGTTGTTCTGGAAATGGTTATCATTTCTATTCCCCTGTCTCTGACATGGAACAGTACAGGCTCTCCAATAAGAGTACCACCCTTGCAAGACCTTTCACACCTAGAACCCAGAGGGAATACTGCTTCTTTCTTTGCCAGCCTTGGAGGCTTCTTAGGGCCTCTTCTCTAGTCTGTGGTTTGCATCATGCTCTATAGCAGGACTCTGCATCTCATTTTGAGCTGCTATTGCCTGGGACTCACCTCCCTATCCCTGCTCATCTATATTTTGAGTTACATTCTTTTCTTTTTCAACATACTCACTTAGAACGTGCTAGGCCAGTAACAGAAAATACAGAGGCTAGCATAGGAGAAGGTAATATGGTGGGATGGTTGCTCAAAAACCATAGCAGAAGACAATAAAATAAAATGAATATATATAAATGAAAAGCATGCAGGTAGTCTAATGAACAGTGATGAAAACTGAAGGTACACTCCCTGCTAAGACATGGCATGGAGACCCTGAAAAGAGTCATCCATGGTCCAACACTGGGAAAGGCTGTAGAGATGAGCCAGGATAAAAGAGAGTGACCTCTGTCTGGGTCTTCTAGAGGAATGCTGTTCATAAATTGCACCACTATAGACCTTCCATCCATCTTCTCCTGCCTCTCCAGGACACAAGCACATGGAACCACTGGGGACTGAAGATGACTTCTGGGGCCCTACAGGGCCAGTGGCTACTGAGGTGGTTGACAGAGAAAGGAACCTGTACCGGTGAGTGAGCTCTGCCTGGAAAAGGTGACTTTCCCCAGCACACTTTCCACACTTTTCACCTAGCCTCTACCCTGTCTTCTCCTACCATCACTAGTGCCAGAGGCAAGGCTAAGACTGGAATAAAAAGCTTGGGAACTCCAGCAACCATTTTTCCAAGTTTGTTTCAACTACTCACATTCCTCCCTTGTCATCACTGTCACAATATTCTGAGTGCAGGACATCAGGTGACTTCACCCACAAACATTTCACTATGCCTCCCCCATAGTTAAGACAGGACCTCGTCTTCCATGACCAGCTCACCATTACCACAACAGAGCTGACATGAGTCCTTCATTCCATCTAAACAGTCTGTGCTCAACTTTGCTCATTTTCTGAAATGTGGACTTTCTGCTGGTTATTTTATTCATGATGTAAACAGCATCTGCCCCCTCATTACATTTTGTTTCTCCTGTCTCTTTGATTTTCTTAAATTTCGGCACTCCTGCTTCACTAACTGCCACTGTGTGTCAAGAACCCACTAGGACCTGAGAACATGAGACATGTACTGCAGCTTTATCCTCCAAGGGCTATAGTCCAATGAGTAATGAGAGACTATATACACAGTCATGGTGTCTTCCATAACCTGTTATCCTCCTCCAGCACTGTCACGGTCACTGTCTCATTAAGAGAAACTGTCACTTTAACTTACTGCAATAGGAATGACACTTGTCTACCCACGTGTCACCAAACAGGAAGCCTTGAGAAAAATCACTGAAGATCTTGGTGAAGCGTTATGTCGGGGCCAAGGATTTATCACTAGTGTTAGCAGATGGACCCTTATTTTGGGGAAATATACTCTTTAAGAATATAAACATCAGGTCGTCGTTGCTCAGAGTTGCCTGACACAAGCGACCTGTGTGCCGGTTCCGAACACCCAACATCCAGAGGCAGCCCGGCCTCCATCCACCGGCCCAGGTAGGTCAGGAACTGTTTCTGGCCCCTGATCGTCATCGCTGCTCAGAGTCACTTGAAGCAAGTGACCTGGTGCCTGACCAGTTCGGCGGGTTCCAAACACCCAGAGACAGCCCGGCCTCCATCCACCAGTCCAGGTAGGCCAGGAACTGTTTCCAGTTCCAGTTCATTGTGGCTGCTCAGAGTCACCTGATACAAGTGACCTGCATGTCGGACCAGTTCGGTGGCAGGTTCCGAACACCCAACACCCAGAGGCAGGCCGGCCTCCATCCGCCGGCCCAGGACCCTGCACTCCCAAACACTTCCCAACCCAGGGAACAATGACACCTCCATCCACGAGAAGAGGACCGACATCAGAGAACCTTGGTCCCACACCCACCAAGAGAACAAGAAACTCTTGCTACACACACCAGAAGAAAGCATGAGAAGAGGACAAGGTAAATGCACATCCAACAACAGAAAACCCAATATGACACCACCGGAGACTAGGAAGCATACACCAGTAAGACCTGATCATCATGATGCAGATGAACCAGAAGAGAATGACCTTAAAAACATCTTCAGGAAAATGATAGAGGACCTCAAAGAGGAACTCAAAAAGGACATGAGAAAATCCCTTAAAGAAATGGAAGAAAAAACTAACCAAAAAAATACAAGATATCAACAAATCTCTCAAGGAAACAGTGCAAGACTTAAAGCTGAAATAGAGACAATAAAGAAAGCACAATCTGAGGGAATGCTGGAAATAGAAAAGCAGGGTAAATGATCAGGAACTACAGATGTAAGCATAACCAAGAGAATACAAGAGATGGAAGAGAGAATGTCAGGCGTTGAAGACACACTAGCGGAAACAGATTCATCAACAAAGAAAATCTTAAGTACATCAAATCCCTATCACAAAATATCCAGGAACTATGGGATACCGTGAAAAGACCAAACCTAAGAATAATAGGTATAGAAGAAGGTCCAAAAAAGGAAAAAAAAATATCAAAAAAAAAATTGAAAAAAATTTCCCCAACCAAAAAAAAGAAATGCAAATGAAAAAAACAGAAGCTTGCAGAACCCCAAAAAGACTAAAAAAAAAAAAAAAAGGTCACCTCGGCACATAATAATCAAAACACCAAACATACAGAACAAAGACAAAATATTAAGAGCAGCAAAGGAAAAAGGTCAAGTAACATATAAAGACAAACTTATAAGAATCACACCTGACTTTTCCTTGGAAACTCTGAAAGCCAGAGGTCCTGGATAGATATTCTACCTACACTAAAAGACCATGGATACCAGCCGAGACTACTATACCCAGCAAAGCTTTCAATCATTATAGATGGAGAAAACAATATTCCATGACAAAAGCAGATTCAAACAATACATATCCAGCAATCCAGCCCTACAAAAAGTATTGGAAGGAAAACTCCAACCCAGGGAAGTGAACTACAACCAGAAAAACATAGGCAATAGATAATCCCAACTTACCAATAGCCAAAAGGAAAAAGGGACAGAATCCCACACATAATCTCACCACCATCACCAAATCAAAAACAAACAAGAATGAACAGTAATCAATGGTCATTAATATCCATCAACATTAATGGTCTCAACTCCCCTATAAAAAGAACAGATTAGCAGAATGGATAAGAAGACAGAAACCTTCTTTCTGCTGCATACAAGAAACTCACCTCAACTTCAAAGACAGACGGTACCTAAGAATTAAAGGTTGGGGAAAGATCTTCCAATCAAATGGACCCAAGAAACAAGCGGGGGTAGCAATCCTAATATCCAACAAATTGGGCCTTAAACTAAAATCACTCAAAAGAGATGAAGAAGGTCATTTCCTACTCATCACAGGAGAAATCCATCAGGATGAAGTCTCAATTCTGAACATTTACGCCCAAATACAAAGGCATCCACATTTGTAAAAGAAACTCTACTAAAACTCAAATCATACATAAAACCACACACACTTATAGTGGGAGATTTCAACACCCCACTCTCACCACTGGACAGGAACACCAGACAGAAACTTAACAAAGAAACATACATACTTGGCAACATAGCAAACCTCAACAAGTACAAAAAAATTGAAATAACCCTGTGTCTTATCAGACCACCATGCTTTAAAATTAGACTTCAACAACAATACGAATTACAGAAAACCTATAACTCATGGAAATTAAGTAACACCCAGTTGCACAATCTTCTCAGCACCACATGGAACCTTCTCTAAAATCGGCCACATACTTGGTAACATAGCAAACCTCAACAGGTACAAAAAACTTGAAATAGCCCCCTGTGTCTTATCAGACCACCATGCTTTAAAATTAGACTTCAACAACAATACGAATTACTGAAAACCTACAAACTCATGGAAATTAAGTAACACCCAATTGCACAATTCATGGGTCCAGGAAGAAATAAAAAAAGAAATTAAAGATTTCCTAGAATTCAATGAGAATGTGGACACAACATATCCAAACCTATGGGATACTTTGAAAACAGTGCTAAGAGGAAAGTTCATAGCGCTAAATGCCCACATGAAGAAACAGGAGAATAATCAACAGCACAACTAAAAGCTTTAGAAAACAAAGAAGCCAATACACTCCGGAGGAGCAGACGCCAGGAAATAATCAAATTGCG